TCAGCTGCACAGGTCAGACTCACAGATACACATTTATAAATAATATTGCCTTCTATTACACTAACCCTCGACATGCACGTTTTTGATAGTTATGAAGTCATAAACTGCAAAAAGCATGTTAAATCTCATTTGAACCAATCAGTGACTTTCATTACAAAACACTTATAACTTTAACTAATTATATTAATAATTAAAAATTAAAAACGCATGACCTCTCCCTCCCAGCAGGTTGTGCTGTTTTGTTATTGAGGCTGTGAGGATTTTTCTTCACGGCTTAAAATAGAAGAAAAAGTTCAAAGAAGATTAAAACAAAAAAAAAAGGACATAAGTCGATTTAAGGGAACGCGTTCACTTGTGCAAAATAAAACCGGTCATCAGGTCTGTTCCGGGGACTCCCTGGCCTGGCACCCTAAATAAATCAGCTTAAAGTTCAGTGGAACTGCTTCATTCAGCCTACAAATCTCTGAGCTGCAATAACAGGGTTCAGTGAGCAGAGATTAATTTAATAACTCAATAATATTCTCCATGAAAAAGAACAGGAGAGCAGCAAGTCCAGAGCATATGGGAGCAGTGATGTGGGCGAGCTGAGGGAGAGAGTATTGCTACAGCAACAGAATGAATATTACATAATGATGTCATTTATATTCTGTACAAAATGCACACTTCCCAGACTGGGGGTTTTATACAGAGCCGGGGATTTGTCTGTAAAAGAGAGTAATGGAGAAAGAAAGACTTGGTAAGTGAAGGCAGCAGGGAGAAGGATGAAGGTGAAAGAAGGAAATGCAGCAAAAAAAAAAAAAGTTTAACTCAACGTGTCTGATGGTGAGGCTTAACTCTGAGTCCTACAGTAGGAGTGTCACTCAGAAGTAGACTGTCAGAAAAACTGAAAACTGGCTAACAGAAAACACTGTTAGCCAGAGAAGAAATAAAAAGTTAATTATGATGGTCAATTAAACCAAGACAAAAAAAAAAATTTCAAAATACATAAAGATACTTCAGTAAAAGACTGCAGGACAAAAAGACTGCTAGAAGTTAGCATAAAAGCAAACAACAAAGGTTAGCCAAGAAATACAGAATACAAAGCCAATAAGATGAGTAAATATATATATAGTGAGAATAATGATTGGGTTGAAAAGTACTTTTAAAAACACGTTGCAGGCTACAAAATATATTAGCATTACAAATGACCTTTAAGCCAGATGTTCCACACACTTTGCCTATGTATACATAACGTTCGTTTGAACGTGTACTGTGGTACTGTGTTAAAGTACCTTTAAGCATGTTTGTGTCTCTTAAATAAATATAAAAAAAACACGAAATCATTTTAATTTGTTTTGTTTGGGTTTCTTTAATGTAAATAAAGGTCATGTGACGAGGACAAACAGGGACGTTCTGAACACATCAGATGTTCAAACGGTCTGAGAACATGAGGAGGATGTGACGGAGAGTAAACAGAGCTAAGAGACGTTGCTCAGTTTGGACGCAGCCTGCAGCTACAACTCTCCCGTCTGATTCCTATTGGAGAGTCAACAGTTGGGAGAGGCGGGAAATAATGAACGGACTACAGCGACATCCAATGGCACCCACCGAAAACGCAGGGCAAAAGCGCAGTTTTGGATAAAAGCCCGGTAGAATTGAAGACCATCTATTGGCTTAAAATAAAATTAAAATAAATAAATAATAAAAGAGAAGAGCAGATAAATACGTGCAGATAATTATTTAATAAATATTTAAACCTACAACTTATTTTGTAAATGTCCAAACACCAACCAGCTGTTCAAACATTCTCTTATCGTCACTGTTTGTTCTCGCTGTCTTCCAATGTTTATTCTATGACTTTCCATAAATCCCTAAGAGTTTGAAGCATCTAATAAAACAGTCCGTTTTATTTATAAATCGAGTTGGAAACTTCAGCCGTGGAGGCTAACGAGAAAAACATCCTTTGAGCTTCAGCTTTGTTTTAGAGATAAACAGCAGATTGTAGGGAACAAACCTCGGGCTGTTGTCTTTAAGATCATGTCCAGATGCACAAGGCAACATGTGGATTGGACCGAACCACTCAGCACAACAGGAAGTCTGAAACGGCAAACCAAGCACATTTTTGAAGACTCTCAGGTTGTAAATATATCAAATTCTTATAAATAAATATAGTATATCAGTCTCATTTCCAATGCCACAACCACTCCAGCCTGTAGGTGGCAGTAAAGCACCTAAAGTTAACTTGATAGCCATGGGGAAGATGCATTGAATGAGAGAGAAATTGATTAAAGTAATAATAATGACTGTGCACAAATTATGTGGAACCACTGCAACAATTACAACATAAAGTATTACCACAATGGAAAACACACCGTTTCAAACATGGACACCAGCACTAGCACTAGCTTTGATGACAGTCATATCATAGCTATGTCAAGACTGTTGTAGCCAAGGCTGGGACCATTGTAGCTAATGTTATAGCTAAAGTAACTGCAACAGTTATGGTACAGACACAGAGCTAGCATTAGCCACAGTCCTGGTACAGACACATTCTGGGTAAATATGGATAAAAAAAAATAAAAACTGTTCTTTAAGTTCAACATTGATTAAATCTATTATCTGTGAATAAATAATTATAAGGTTCTTAGTAAAGTTTTTTTAGTTGTTAAAGCAGTGGCAGTGACACATAGTGGCCGTGGCTTGATAGTTCGAACGTCTCTGGACTCAGAACAAACCTTTGCTTTGTTCTTGTGTTTGTTTGTTTTGGGTTTCTTTTTTTCCTTCTCAAAGGAACATGGGAGTTGGCTTACGGTGACAGATTTGTTTGCATGTAATTTGACATCTGTTTGTGCAGGAAGATTAAACGCTGAGGTCAACGTTGAACCTGTTAAAACACTCGACAAGGAACACCATTTCACTTGTTATTAATGGGTGTGTGTTTTAACTAGGTACATACACTGGTGTTTAACTGACACAAATACATTATTACATTAACCAGGGGTCACTGCAGCCAATCATCTGCGTCCATCTCACCCTGTCTCCTCTACTTCTACACCAACCACCTCCAGGTCCACTTTCACAACATCCTAAAATTGTCACCATCTCTCCTCACCTCAGATGACCCTGTCACTACAAGCCTGGTCCTTTACCTTCTAGGCCATTGTTTCCTAAAGACTGGGTCGCGATCCTCAGGAGTTTCATGTCTCACATCATGTTTCCCTGAGTTTACGAAACCTTGGGTCGCGAAGGTTTGTGACTTTTAAAATATGGGTCCCCAGAAAATAAAGTTTAGGAAGAACTATTCTAGACCACCGGATGTGGTAAAGCAGGGGTGTGAAACTGGTTTTGGTTCAGGGGCCACATACAGCCTGATGAGGCCAGACCAGTAGACTAATAGAATAATTACATATAAATAACAATAAATCCACCCTTTGTTTTTCTGCAAATAAGTACAAGCATGTTAGAAAAATATTCATATTTAAGGAAATGTAATCAAGTGGGCCCGATTAAACCGCCAAGTGGGTCAGTTTTGGCCCGCAGGCTGTATGTTTGAAAACCCCTCTCTAAAGTCACAACTTGTTGCAGATACATATATTGTGAACATAGTTTCTCCTGTTGTTTGTAACTGTTGTCAAAGTTCAATTTTAATCTGTTTCTGATGTTGGGAGCGGCGTCTATTTGTCATTAAACAACAGTGTCACTCTTCAGCCGCCTCCACCTGCTTCACCCTGTCTGCACCGTATTATTATTAAAACTGTTAATCGAGTCATTATTTTTATCAGGTTAGTAATTAACTGACTCACTGTGGCTGCTGCCTGAAAATAATTGTATATCAAGGACAGCTAATCTGGTAATTGACATATACTATGATAGAAAGACGAGTCTATGATAGAATGAAGAGTCAGAGCAGAGAGACGCCCGTGTCTAAAAATACTTTCTCTGAAAATTAAGTCAAATGACATGTTGCTTTTAATAAGATGGTAAATAAACCAAAAAGACCAGTTGTGTGACATTGGTGTGTTCGAGGCCTCGTCAATCACCACAGCAACCAGGGCTGAAGTCTAACGTACTGAGAGGTTCAAATTTATACTGGATAATTACTTGTGAATACAGTCATTATGGGGCTTTGATTATATGACAAGTCACATCGATAATCTCCCAGGAATGTGCTAAACTTGATGTGCCGTCATTAGAGCACTGCACTGAGACGATCCTCAAACACAACACACCCACGGTAAGAGCACGAGTGAAAAGAAGATGTGAGCCAAGTATTTCCTCCCTAATCAAACCCA